AATTGAATGATTGTTTATGGGTGTTGTTTAATTCAATGATTGAGGTATTTTTCATATTAATTGTGCATGTTTGTGCTTAGCAATCTAATTGGTCATTCTAACCTAGATTAGAGGGGAAACCCCCCTTTCAAGGGAGGCTCAATTGATTTGGGAATCCTAGGGCTTCTTAAGCCACCTATCTAGGTCAGTATAGGGCAAACATCTATGTTGAATTAAGCAATTTGGTTAAGCGCTATTAAGCCGACCAACCATTGGGTTGAGAGAGGGAGTAAGTCAACCATCTATTGCCTTAACCGAGAGGGCCACTTGAATAGCCTATAATGTATCCCTCGGTTTGGCAATCAAGAGTGTGGTCACGACCATATTTGCGTCCCCTAGCGGTTCACGGTCACCTTGCCTATAGCAATCACTTCGATTCACATACCATGGTACTAGTTAGGGGGAAGCGACACCCGAGTGATCCTTCTCACAAAGAGCTTGCAAAACCATTTACTTTTGACTTGCTTTACTTTAATTAACAAACTTTTTAACCAAAACCGATTCGCTAGATAATGATTCAAATGATTGAAGTAGTGGTACACGGACCGGCCCGAGTCGATATTTAAACATACTTTCCCTGTATTGCACCCCGACTAAGGTTTATACTTAGACCTTAGGCGGGAATTAATTGTGATATTCGGAGCGAGTCCAGTTTTTGGCGCTGTTGCCGGGGACCATTCTAGGTTATTTGAAAACGGTTAGGTCGTTACTTTAGCCATTTTGTTTTATGTTTTGTGTTTATTGACCCACTCTTCCCTTGAAGGGTGGTTTGTGTTTGTTTGATTTTCTTTTTATGTTTTTGTGGTTGTAGGTTGAATCATGGATCCCAATGGCTTCTACAGCATGTGGGGATATCCACAACCACCCAAATGGGGGTACCCCGAAGCTTCATGGAGTAACCAAGAAGGTGGAAGTCAAGTAACCAGGTTCTATGATCAACCTCCCTTCCAAGAAGAACAAGCATACCATTGGGGATTTTAGGAAGCTCCCCCATATGAAGAAAACTTCCCCGCTCAAGTCGAGGAGAAATCCAAATTGGAGTTTGCAATGGAAGCTTTCATGGGACAATCTTCAAGACCATGTGCCACTCCACAACCGGAGGCAAAGAGCCAATTGGAGCTCATGGTGGAGCGGTTTGCTCGAGGCACCGATGAAGGGTGCTCGAACTTGGATCTCCCACAACCCAAAGCGAAGTCCAAGTTGGATCTTGCCGTGGAGAATTTGAAAGAACAAGCTCCAACACGGATTTCCAACCCCTCCCTCCTCCCGGTTTGACACTAGAAGAGAAGGCTGCACAAGCTTGTGTTAGCTATCGCCTCTCATTATTGGAGGAGAAGGTGGAATGGGCTTGTGCAAGCTATCACCTCTCTTTATTGGAGGAAAAGGAGGAGGTTGAAGGAGCGATCAATGACAACCGTGTGGAGCAAGAAAAACTCACCCCAGAGAGAGCTCTCGTGGTGACGATGAACAAGAAGGTTGCATTGATGACTCCCATCACTTTCCCCTTCCCGAAAGAAACATTTAAGACCAAGACACGAGTGTGGAGGATCAAGAGAATCCTTTACGATCTTGCATGGCACCTTGCCCTCCAAACCGAGCTTCAAGACATGAATGGGGAGGAGAAAGAAGAGGTTGAAGAGGAGGAAGAAAACATTGAAGAAGGGGAAGATCTTGAGTGTTCCCAAGGGGAGGAAATTGAAGAAGAAGGAGAAGGAGCAAGTGGTGTCCAAGATGAAGACGAGGTCGGGGTGGATGAAGCATCTACAAGTTACAGGCATTATGAAAGCTCACCACGCGACCTCGACGCACTTTTGGAGAAGGACCCATTTGCGGCTCTTTGCCAAGCCAAGGACAAACCAACGGCGATCCCTCTTGGTGGATGCGATGGTGGTAAATCGATGATGCACTCTAAGGTATGGGGCAAAGAGAAGAAGGGAGAAGGAGAAAAGAAGAGGCCTCGTGGGTGGAGCCTCAATGCCACTCAAGTTCACGAGCCCTCAATAATGGACTCGTCCAGTGCTCGTGACTTGAGACATCACCTCACCGACAGAAACCTCAACTTCAAGGAGGTTCTTGGGTGGACCGAAACTAGAGGAGCAACCGTCCGGCTCACGACGTTAAAGAAGCGCTTGGTGGGAGGCAACCCAACCATCAACGGTTTGCATCTCTTTTCCTTTCAATAATATGACCACTGGAGAGATTTTGGTGGCATTTTGCCTTCTCCACGCTCTTCCGGATCTCTTCCGGATCTCATGCATTTGTGTGTGAATGTTTGCTGTGATTTTGAATGCTTGGAGCCTTGAAGTATGCCCAAATTTTTAAAATTTGAGGGCTGCAAGCATAAGAACTTCTACATTTGCATGATCATAGTGGAATCTTGTGGTGATTTGTTTTGAATTTCGTGGGTATTAGCATTGTCTATGGATGATTTGCTTGTGATTTTGTGCAACCTATGATGACGACTAAGACATGTATTAGGTTTGTGCATAGGTTCATTTCTCATGAGTTTGTGAACCGATAGATGTTTTGAATTGATTACTTGCTTTTCGCAGTTGCCTATGCATCGAGTTTAGGGAGTGAGAATGAATAATTGAGCACCTAGGTTGTCATGTGAGACTTGTGCCGTTAACTTCGTTCTTGTGCAATATATCCCACTTTACATTATGAGTAGCATTCACGTTGTTGCTAGCGAGGAAGATGGAGGCATATGATTAGCCCATGATCCAAAGAAATGTGGTATGTTTTTAGTTCTCCATAGCCCTCAAAGAAAAGAGTAAAGAAAAGAAGAAAAAAAAGAAGGAGAAAAAGAAATCAATAAAAGGGCAAAGGAGAAAAGAGTGGCCACCAAAAATATAGTAAAAGAGTGCTTGTTTTGATACATTTTAGGTCCTACCACGTGTGGAAGGGTCGAGGTCGGATTTTGGGATAATTGGAGGTCAAAAAGCGCAAAAACCAAAGAAAAGTACCTCGTAATAGTGAAGTGCAGGCGCTCAGGACGTAGCCGCAATTCACGGTCCATCGAGGCAGTTCACGGTCTTATAAGACCGTGAACTGGAGCCACAAACCATGAACATCGAGCAGTCTAGCGAGGTTTCAGAGGTTATTGACGCCAAGGGAGTTCACGGTCGCTAAGACCGTGAACTGGGGCCATTAACCGTGAACCCAGGAGAGTGAAGCGGTGCGTTTTGGAGACGACTGAGTTCACGGACGCGTTTAGGTGTTCACGGCCGTGAACTGGCCAATGCGTCCGTGCACTTCTCACTTTCGGGCAAATATGAAGACAACAGCAGGTAGAGAGAAGGGAGAGCTGATTTTTGGAGAGAAATTCAATTCTCTCTCTAGGGTTTGCCCAAAACACCAAAGGGGAGTTCTAGTGAGAGAGGGAGTGATCTTGGAGCTTAATTGAAGGCATTGATCAAGCTTGGAAGCTAGGAATCAAGCCTATAAGAAGAAGAAGATCTAGAGGTTTCTTTGTAATCTCCCCTCTCTCTCTCTCTCTCTAGAAACTCACCCTCTTCTCTTGATTTTGAGAACCCTAGATCTAGATTTGGATTTAATGTTGATGTATGTGATAAACTCCATGATTGATTGATGATTTTACTTAATTGATGGATATTTTCATGATTGGCATGAGTTGTGTTTCCATTTTCATGTATTAAGCTTTTGACCTAGGAGGGAGATAATCCCCTTAGACCCCCTTTTGGCGTCTTCGGGTCTCTCTTATCGTATATTGTCCGGGTAGTCCCAGAGGGATTTTATTCGACCGGTCTCCTAGCATTATACGAAACCCTAGGTTGAATAGAGCACTACCCATCCATCGATTCCCCATGTCGGGTCACTCCCGAGGGAGTCCATCTCCAAACGGTAGTGTAATTGAGTCAATCGAACTAGGAGGATACCCACATTGATCTAAAGAACTGACCTAGGATGATTCAACCCAAGAGAGCTCCAAACCTTGTAAATAGCTAGGTTAGTGGTTAGCTCGGTTAGTTAGTTTAATTTTTCTAATCACCACCCTAGGTTGGCTAGATAACGAACCCTAAACCTGAAGTAGGGTAAGCCTAGATCCTCGTGGTACGATAAATTCTTATTGCTTGCTTGCCCTATGCTCATCCGATCGGCGGTTATACTTGGCCTCTTATTCCCCCTCTGCCATACCTTATCACCATTGTTATCAGCGACAACATCCTAATTCGAGGAAGCTCTGAAATTGGGGTTTTCCCCCATCCTTCCTCTTCCTCTCCTTCCATCTCCGCCGCACCCAATCGCTATTATTATCAGCGACGGTGACTCAGGATTCCGACCAGACGATGTAGATAAACGGGAAACAGTTGTGGCAGAGGGAGAGGACGGAGATGAGGGGAAAGCAAGGCTTGGACCCTCCATTTGGGTTTTGTTTTTCAGGTTCTTATGTTTGAAAATTATAAATAAAAACTAATCTGACGTGAAAGGCATGGTCCATGAAACCGTACCGTACCGGCAGTTCACCCATGAAATACCGGTATTGGAGGCTAAACCGGTAGGCAGTATTTAACGATCTAACGGTTAAACTACGGTTAAACCACGGATTTATCATAAAATATCATCCCGCTCACTCTTCCGACACGATATCCGGTACGTTTTCATGGACCATGGTGAAAGGTGATGTGGCTGCTGGCATGACCTTTTCCGTTACAAAGTTAATAACAGTAACGGACTGTTAGTCATTCGTTTACTCGCACCTTTTCCGTTACAAAGTTAATAACTGACGAATTGTTAACCATTCGTTTACGCACAACAATAGGTATGACTAATAATTTATCAATAGTTGTGGCTATAATTTCCCGCTTCTTAATAATTCTAGCTAGCTAATAATAATTCTACTAGCTAATAATAATTCTAGCTAGCTAATATATTGTATTTACCCATGGTTGTGGAAAATAGTTTGTTTTTCTAACTGAATCTTTTTCACTGCTATAGTCTATAGCTATGGAAAGGTGAGTAGGTGACTATCAGTCATCCACATTACAGGTTATCATGTTTGACTTGAACGAATTCAGACACCAGACTAAACTGCGAAATCAAACACAGAAAGCTGAATTGCATCATGATCAGCTTAAAACAGGGTTAACACTTGTATGATAGAGATGGTTAGCAGCCATGAAACACTTTTTCATACACACAACGACCCACAAGTCTCTGTTCCCACATAACAAAAGGGCACATTCTATATATGTTATACAAAATGCTTTTCCTTAGTTATAACCAAAATTTGCCCTCTTCTTACCCCTCCAATGGTGACCGCCCGCTCGATAATCGTAGTTCCCATCAAACCTAGGTATTGTCCTGCTGTATCCTGTTCCATGTTGATTGCCGCCTTCATTCCTCCAGGAATCCTTATTCCAGGTTCTCCAACCACCAACGTTCGGCTTCCTATAGTTGGATTTTTGGGTTTCCTCGGCAGCATCTTCATCCCATGGTTTCCTCGCCCATGCTTGACTGCTGCTATTATTTCTCCATCCTCTCTCATTCAGAGTGCCACTAGCTTGAAAGCTGCCTTCCCTAGGTTGCTGACCATTGTTCCATTTCCTAGGCTGATGTTCATTATGACCCCAAAACCCATCCCCAAATTCACCCCAACCATCAGCCTTAGAAGGGACAGCAGTAGCTGCACCATTGCCCTCCCAAGTATTGCCCCCGTTCACCCAATCCTTCGACTGTGGAGCAACATGGACAGAAGTGTTCCATCCCCATGAATCATCGCCTACAACTGGCCAGCCCCCACTCCCATCTACAGCTTCATCTCCCTGATGGCGGGCCTTCTCCCAGGGATTATTATCATCTTTATTTGAATCATTAGATTCTTTCAAGTTATCATCCCACTGATCTCCCCAGCCTTGACATCCAGCAGTCACAGCAGCACTACTGCCCAGCACAAAGTTCTGAGTCTCCCAACGGTTCCCCACATCTTCTGCGGGATTCATACTACACCCTTCTAGCGGATCAGAGAACATATTCTTGGTCTTTTTCTTCATATTACCAAAGTTCATCTCTTCATCATCAACTGGAGCATAATACTCTTGCTCCAATTCACGAATCAGTTCAGGGTCAATATAAGGGTTCCAATTAATTTCATCTATACAAGCATCAGGATCCGGTGGAGGTATGTCACAAGAGAGACCATTAATAACTGCCCAGTAACGGTTTTTAGCATTATGAAATGCCTCTTTACCGGCTGAGTCATCCCATTTGAGAATCTGGCTTTGGGAGTAAGAGAACTTCTTAGCATCTACAACTTTATGCCAAGGTACTGCACCAACAGCATAACAGAACTCCTTTTCCCATACAGGTACACCATCATCAATATAATCTACAAAAAAATGCTAGTCAGATCCAATCTTACTAAAAAGACGGACCAATATCAACAAAACATAAGGTATTTTCTTACTACAGAATTAGACAGCTACTATCATAGAAATAACTACACATGGACTTCATTTTTATCTATGCAATTCTCTTGATTCAGTTCTGGACTCTTACATTCTATCCCTAGAATCCTGATACACCAAAGAGAAATTCAGCTGCTCACAGTTTCATAAAATCAAGAATCTTCCATACAAAAACATGGCAAGTGTGAAGATCTGCCATCCTCCAACACACAACGAAACAAGCCCCCACAATTTAACACAAAATCACTGGCAGTCGACAAGCTTCATGCAAACAACGTCAAGCAATAGCAGGAACAGGACCAACACTTGTTCATTAAGCAATTGCACAAATGAATGATTCATACCAGGTGATTTTCATCACTGTTATACTGGTCAAAAGAGCAGCATAGCTTAAAGCACACAATGTGACGATAACGAAAGGGCGACAAAGAAATCTAGTAGCAGACAAACTAAACACCAAGTTGTCACGAAAGAGCTGTACAGGACAGTGATCTCTGTTAATAACATTAAAGTTATGACGATTGTCAATAACATTGCGGACAGAACCCGCGACATCAAAATCTGAAACCATACAAGTTTAGCAATCTGTTATTACTATTTCCATTTATTGGTCTTCCGCACCCTTCACCATGCTAGACATAAACGGCATAATATGGAAACGGAAGGTCAATTCCAGAAATCCTCTCATCATTTCCCAAAACCCTCACATCCGGATCATAATTCATATGAATGCCTATATCTTATCGCATCCTCTCAGCATTAACAACTTTCTCAATATATCCGATCTGAACAAACATAAAAAAATCGAAAAAACAAATCGCCAACATTAGAAGACCACCCTGGGCTTAAACTTGATTCCTCATAACACAGAAGACACAACGTGGAAACGCCAGCAACAACAACTAGCCACAAACCCGCGCAAACAGGACAATCGAGAATACCCAAATCAAGAATTGGCAAAAACAAAAGGCTGATTTGATTCAGTCTAAGGTCTAATTGGAGAAAGAAAGTAATTTCATCGAGATTGGGCGGTACAGGAGCAAAAGCACAAGAACAAAGACGAGAGTTATAACTTAGACCTTCATAAGGAGGAGGCTGATGATCGTAATACGATTTGGGAGGCCGTCTGTCTTGATTATAGTACCATCTCCGAGACGGGCGATTCTTCCAATTACCCATAGCTGTGAGTGTCCAACAGACAGCTAACCCACCACCACTATGTTTAATGTAGAGACGACTGAGGAGATTGAGATATGTAACTGAACGAAGATGATAATTTTATTTTTAAGGGAACGAAAAGGGATACCAGGGATTGTTGTCAGTTGTGATGTCAGGGAAAGAGAGAAGGCGGAAGCATACGTGGGAGGAAGGGAAGAGAAGCTGAAGGAGCAGGGGAGAGGGAGACACAGGGAAGGGAGGAAGGGAGGACGGATAATGCTATTGGAGTTAGATTAGGTGCTTGTTAAAATTAATTAAACGTTAAATTGGTAAAAATATAAAAATCATTAACAAAAATCCTAATATATCGTTGGGATTTGGGAAGGGTTAGCTTGCTAGCTTTTTTAACACCATGTTAATAGTAATTCTAGCCAATGAAAAAAGTTTGTCTTGATAACATTTTTATTTATCTTTGATGATTTTTATTTATATGAGTTCACCACAATTAAATGTTTAATTTAAAAGGATGGTATATTTGTCATTTTCAAAAATGAAAGAACGTCCTCTCCAAAATCCTATGGCTTCTTAATAATAATTCCTATCTTCGTAGTTGCGTTGTCCACCAAATACCTCATCTTTTTGTGGAAGATATCCATAAACCATGGATATCGGGTGGATATCCACATAGCCACTAATATGTTATATACCCAATTATAAAACTCAAAAATTTTACATAATTCCAACAACATGCTAATAAAGCATAGCAGTAGACTTCGAAACAAACTAAAACCATAAGAAAATGTGCTATGCTACAATTTTTCTTCATTGAGGTTCTCATCAATAAAAACATGTAGACGCATTTAAATGACCGTAACCCTTCTCTTATATATATACATCTCTTGAGATGTAGTTACTTTTACTATAAAGACTAAAGATATGGGAATCGTTGCTAGTAGAATCAAAGAATTGAGAGATTATTCGCCAATCATTCTTCAACGATAAAAGGCTTTGGCTTTGAGAAAAAGAATTAATCTAATAACTAGTGGAGTTTGATTCGATGGCTATGAGAATACGAGGAGTCAAGAGCATTGGAGGAGGGTTGGGAATGGTAATTCAAAAAACGTGGGGTTGGGAGAATGACGGGACAAGGTTAAAAGTGAGAACGAGATTCGAGAAGTGAGAAGTCGATGGGCCAATGGGGTATCTAAGTATTGGGGTACTAGGCCGGTTCGGGACGCATATTAGAATATGCCTACCCTTCCCTTGCTGATAACTACATATTTGAGTTTTATCAGAACTCGTCAAAAATCCAATCAGTTCGGTTTTACACATGTTGACCTGTTCGGATTCGAGTGGATACTCGATTTAGTGGGGTTTTCTCCCAACCCTACTCTCTAGCGTTCGCCCTCACCATCGTAGTCATCGGAGTCATAATGGCCATCGTCGGCCTCCTAGTATATCGCCATCATGCGGAGAGCCGACGAGGGCTGGTAATCGGTTGGTATCCAGTTAAACCAGTTACCGAATTACCGGTTATCGCTATACCGAGATGCCTATATTTGCTGCAGACAACTGGTACCGAAAAACAACCAGTTAATCGGCTAACTGGCAACACCGGTTTATGGTTATTGTCCGGTTATCCGGAAAACCCGGTGTCATTATATAGTCCTCTGATTGTCTTCTGATTTTCTCCATCTTCTCTCCTTCTCTCTTCAACCACGTGATTCGCAAGCCAACCTCTATCCGGCAAAAATTAAAAACCCAATTGTTTTTTCTTTATTGCGCAGTTGGGCGTTGGGAAGATCGTTGACGAAGGAGCGGCGATTGAGGCCAAGGGCGAGGGTCGGATATGGCAGAGATTGGTGGGGTCAGAGATGTCGTCGTCGCGCCGAGAATGAGTGAGGGAGAAGATGATTCATCAACGGCGTCAAGGGAAGAGAGAGAGATAATTCATCACTGTTCTCATTGAGCCCCGAGAATAACTTCTCTAACGACTCTCCCCTCTTATCAGATCTCATTTTGGAGGAGGTGGAAGAAGAAGAAGAATTAGAAAGGGAATGTGGGTTGGAGTTGCATTAGGTGATTGAATTTGGGTCTCTATACAAGCTTGATCATCGCACTGCCATTGATGCGATTCAATCTTGGTCAGATGGTGATAGACGATAGCTACGGGCGGAAGAAGGTGTCGACGGTTGAGCAAGTGATGGCTGGTATGGTTCAGGATCCATGGGTGGTGTCCTAGAGAGAAGAGAGAGAGAGATTTGGGGAAGAAGACGGAGAGAAGAGGTGACTCACTCTGAATATCACAATTAATTCCCGCCTAAGGTCCAAGTATAAACCTTAGTCGGGTGCAATACATGGCAAGTATGTTTAAATATCAACTCGGTTCGGTCCGTGTACCCCTACTTCAGTCATTTGAATCATTATCTAGCGAATCGGTTTTGGTTAAAAAGTTTGCTAATTAAAGTAAATCCAGGCAAAAGTAAATGGTTTTGAAAGCTCTTTGTTAGAAGGATCACTCAGGTGTCGCTTCCCCTTAACTACTACCATGGTAAGTGAATCGAAGTGATTGCTATGGGCAAGGTGACCGCGAACCGCTAGGGGACGCAAATATGGTCGTGACCACACTCTCGATTACCAAACCGAGGGATACATTATAGGCTATTCAAGTGGCCCTCTCGGTTAAGGCAATCGATGATTGACTTACTCCCTCACTTAACCCAATGGTTGGTTGGCTTAATCGCGCTTAACCAAATTGTTTAATTCAACATAGAGGTTTGCCCTATACTAACCTAGATAGGTGGCTTAAGAAGCCCTAGGATTCCCAACTCAATTGAGCCTCCCTTGAAAGAGGGGTTTCCCCTCTAATCTAGGTTAGAATGACCAATTAGATTGCTAAGCATAAACATGGACAATCAACATGAAAAATACCTCAATCATTGAATTAAACAACACCCATAAACAATCATTCTATCACATAACAACTACATGGCAAATAGTTAGGGTTTCACAATACCCAAGTGAAAAGAGGAAACTACTCCATGATAGAAAGGGGAAGAACACAAGAGGAAGAGGTAGAAACCATCATGGTGATGCCTCCAATCTCATTTGAGCTTGTGTTGATCTTCTCTTGGGGAGAATCTTCCCAATTCACCACTTGGAGTAAACCCTAGCCTTCTTTCTTCTTTGGTTCGATCTCTCTCTCTCTCTCTAAAATCCGAAGAAGAAGACACTTTCTCACTCTTCGGCTTCCCTCTCTCTTCCTTTCAGCTCTCCCTTTAAATAGGGATCGGGCTCAGTTCACGGTCGTGAACTCTTGAACGCGTCCGTAAACTCAAGGTTGGCGTCGAAACACACCCCTTCGCTTGCACAGGTTCATGGGTAACAGCTCTAGTTCACGGTCTTAGTGACCGTGAACTCGCCTGACGTTAGTAACTCCAGATTTGGCCCTGGACGCCTTGATGTTCACGGGCAACAGCTCCTCTTCATGGTCGTAGTAGACCGTGAACTTCCAAGGGAAACCGTGAACTGCCAGTTTTTCACCTCTTCTCCCGGTTTTCGCTCCTTTTCGTCCAAATTTTGTCTCTGGGACTGGTTTCACCTGTTAAATCCTGAAACATGCTAAAACACAAGAAACCTCGCTTAAAACCACCCTTTTAGGAGCGCAATTGCCACAAACACCTAAGGAAAACAGGGGTAAAATATGTACAATTAGGCACTAACCACCCCCCCCCCCCCCCACACACACACACACTTAGACGTTTGCTTGTCCCCAAGCAAACCATTTCCCTCAAATGTAATATTTCAACCTCACAAACACTTTGGTGACAACTCAAAGGGCACAAAGTGGGAATTCCCAATGGCTATTGGCAATTAATACATGGACCGTTGCAAGCGATACCCACATCCACCACAAACGACATTCGAGGCCACCAAAAGTGGGCAAATGAAAAGTTCTCACCTTTTTCATGGATCAATGCAAGTCTCAACAAGACCACTTATCAACCACAACTAACCATGCATAAAATTCAAGTCCGAGGAACAAATGGAAAAGCAACAAAGGTCATCACTGGGGTATGATATGGCATGCAAAACAAGAATGAATCACTCACTCTCAAGACCAGTGGGGTCGGGACCTTTTTTGGTACAAAAGATGTGCACAATCATCAACACTAGGCCCTATCGTCTCAATACCACGGCGGTAACCTCTAAATGCTAGAGTTCAGAGGATGGTTGTCACCACTAGCTTGTTCGGAGGTCTTAGGCACTGGTTCAAATGACTGGCAATTGTCTTGGACATGGGGAAAAGGCTTTTTCGGTGGTGGCAAACATGACATGAAGTTCTACATCTTCAACCTAAACTCGAAGGTTCTATGGTTTCGACTAAGACCATTCTCTTCAACCAAAGGCCACTAGCATCGGCCAAAAACCTTATCTCTCCCTTCCAAACTATCACCCATCGTGAACCACATTTAAGCGCTCTTCCTCGGTCTACTCTTGCTATCACATTATGGTTTGGTAGTGAAGGAGTTCTAAAATGATGTGGGGGTTTCAATGGTTTAAGTTCCAAGAAAGCCCTCCTAGAGCATACACTTTGGTTTTTCGTGGCACTCTCTACTTTATTTACCCCGTTTAATTACCTCATTTTCATTTCTCTTTTCTTTTCTTTCTTTTTTATTTTCTTTTCCTTTTGAGGGGGGTACTAGAGTGTAAAACCTTTGCCACCTATACATTCAACGACCAATGCTCTCTTTTCAAGAACTCACTCCAACACTACACTTCATTTTTCATTCCTAGCAAGAACCACGCACAATCCTCCTATGTAGAACCTCAATGGAACTCGAAAGCGAGAGCTCCGAGACACAAGGATGACTCATGTTTAGACACGAACAAAGGATTGGGGGTCGTTCTATCAACACCATTAAACTCACAAGCACAAAGCTCCTACTTTAAGAACGACCCTCGAAGTCTCAAAGCTCAAAGGGGTTGACTAAGGGATGACACATTTCGGGACAATCAACATTTGGGCGTGAACTAATCCTATGCCTCCATCATACTCACTAGTGACAACTGTGATGTTACTCAACATGGTAAGAGGGATCTAAGCACACAAGAAGAAAACGATCGGCTCAAAGTTCACATGGCTACCTAGTCACCCAACCATCTATTCCAATTCACAAAACACAATGCATGGCAAATTGTAGTCAGCAAGTAATCGAGTCAAGACATCCATTCGTTTATGCACACATGAGAACTAAACTTTGGCACTATCCTAATGG